TGGACTTAAGAGTAGGGGAAGTGTGTTCCCACAAGAAAGAACGGTGCATGCAGTCCTGGGCGTGAGAAGGAGAAGGATATGTTAGAACAGGACATGGTTAGAACTTAGAGAGTAGAAGAGATAAGGTCAGGAAAGGAGGTAGGGGCTGATCAGGAACAGCTTGATAAGCTGTTTTAAGGCATTTAAATTTTATCCTTAGAGCTTTGAGGAGCATCAGAATATCAAAGCAGGATAGTGGCATGGTGGTGTATGATTTTAGAAGAATCACCTGGCAACACAGTGGGGAATGGTTGGCAGGGGAAGGCTGGAGGCAGCGTGGCTTAGTGGGCTGCTGAGATAATCTGGGCTGGAGATGGTATGAGTTATGGTAGGGATGGTGGGCCCAGGGAAAAATTGATTTTGCCTTGAAAATGAATTTAAAAATAATTGATTTGATCAGTGTGTGCATGTGTGTGAGGGTTCGAGTGAGGAAGAGGGTAGAGAGTCTTGCAATAATGCCAGGTCTCAGGCTTTGTGGTGTGGTGATAAAAAGGAAGAGACTGATGAGGAAAGATGGCCATCAGTTGTGTTTGGGACACATCCATCTTGAATAGGCTATGAAAAAGTGAAGTCTAAATGGACCGTGCACAGGTAGGTATATGGGTGTGAAGTACGGCAAAAGAGATTTGGTCTGAGATGATCGCCAGAATAGGCTGAGGGAAAAGTGTGGCAAAAGGAAAGATACCCAATGTTACGTTTCTCTCAGGATACTGCTTGTTTTATTTTTTTTTCCAGCTTTATTGAAGCATAACTGACAAAATTATAAGATATTTAAAGTGTTCCTTGTGATGATTTGCTATACCTATATTTTGTGAAAGGGTTCCCTCCACTGATTTAACACATCCATTGCCTCATGTGTTTACTTTTTTGTAGGGAGAATATTTAAGTTCTACTTTCTGAGCAGATTTCAATGATACAAGTGTGATCAACTATAGTCACCACATTATACATCAGGTCCTTAGATCTTATTAGTCTCAAGACTCCACATAAGTGACCCCATGCAGTATGTGTCTGGCTTTATTTCACTTAACTAATGCCCTCCAGATTTATCCATGTTGTCACAAATGATAGGATTTCTTTCTTTTTTAAGGCTGAATAATATTCCACAATATATTTATATAAATATATAAATACCACCTTTTCTTTCTTCATTTATCTGTCAATGGACACTTAGGTTGTTTCCATACCTTGGCGATGATGAATAACGCTGCTATGAACATGGTAGTATAGATATCTCTTTGAGTTAATGATTTTGTTTTCTTCGGGTAAATACCCAGGAGTGGAAACACTGGATCATAGGGTAGCTCTATTTTTAATTTCTTGAGGAGCTGCCATACTGTTTTCCACGGCGGCCACACCAGTTTGCATTCTTGCCAAAGAGTGTGCGAGGACTTCCTTTTCTCTGAGTCCTCATCTGCTTGTTTCCCATTTGGTCTGTTTTAATATTTCTTTTGAATCTCTGACTATGGGTCATTGCTTATTTTTGTAACTAGCAAGTGTCGTCTTTCTCCGGGTTGGTAACAAGGCAAAAACAGCTGCTACTGACAGAGGGTTAAATAGGAAGAAAAGGAAAAACAAAAAGTCGAGAGAAGGAATCCCAGAGAGCTGTGGAGAAAAGCTATATGTGAGCGCATCTGCTGGCCCAGGAGCTGTGTGGTTTGGCCTGCAGGTTCCTCCTCCTCATGCTTTCTGCTTAGGTTTCATTCATTTCCTCTTCTCTCCATTCCCAGTTTTTCAGACCCATTAGTCCAAAGGTGTTATTTTTACTTTTTGGTGGGCAACAAAATAGTGATTATTTCTCCAAGATGTCACCTGAGCCTCACATCTTGGCTTTGGCCTTTCACACTTCATCTAGGCCTGTGTAAAATGCATGTTGGGGCTGGTCTTGTCACACGTACATGGAGTTCTTCAGTGTCTCCAGTGAAAACACTATGTTTCATTCATACAGTTGGTGTAATTTTTTTTTTTTTTAATTAGCTCTACTTCAATAGGATAGGATTTTTACAAGCATTGTTTTCACAAGAACAAATAATAAAGTTTCGAGTGAAGTTTCTTCTTAAGGAAACTAACTTTTTAATTGCTTCAGTTGCTTTCATTACACACCTTTGCTGGGTTGCCTGAGTGGCTCAGTTGGTTAAGTATCTGACTCTTGATCTCAGCTCAGGTCTTGATCTCAGTGTCCTGAGTTTGAGCCCTGCCCAGTGTGGAGCCTACTTGAAAAAAGAAAAAATAACACACTTTTACAAAATTATTATACCCAAAGAATAAAAACCTACCTTGCTGTTTTCCTTCTCTGATGTCAGTTGAAGACTTATAAATAGTTGTTAATGGTGTTTAGTTAAGGTACTAAACTTATAGGTCATATATCAAATATGTACCTGCTCATTTTTTCTTGTTGCCAATTTATCAATTCTAAATTTTAATGTAGTTGGAGCAGGAGAAAATCCACTTTGTCACCAAAGGCTTGCATTACAAACATGATTCCGCTGTGCATCTATTTTCTTTCTTGTTAAGGGATGAATTCAGTTGCACAAATCCAGTGTATTTTATCTGTTAAACATGTTAGTTCAGGAATTTCACTTGGTTCTATAAAGATACACATCTATAATGGTGGTCAATGCCAACATAAAACATTTCATCAATTGGCCTCTGATCCAATTCAGTTCTCTCGTCTTCTGGCTTGCAAAATAACTGGTTTTTGAGATTTTTTATCATAATCAAAGTTAATTTTTGGTTCGGATGATTATTGACTGTTTTCTTCTGAGACTTAATATAGACTCATATTTTTAGAGTTAAAATAAATCAGTATGTACAGCATAAGCATCGTAGGAGACAAAACACTGAAAGTTTCTTTGAGGTGTCACAAATCTGCAAGTCATCTGAGTTTATGATTGTGGCAACTTTTGCTTAAAGTTAACATCTGCCCAGGTAAATTTTGTTTCTGGTTCTATGATTTCCTCAGCTTGTCCCTGTTGATAAGGGCAATTCTAAACATGAAAATTGTGCCTGGATATTTGAGGCAGTGTGTGGTCTCTTACTAAAGTGGTCAGTTTACAGTTTTGCTCGCTAGTTTGCTGGTTCCTATGACGGCAAAAAGAATGCACGTGTTAATTTCATCGGAAGCCTGTTTATATAGTACTTTTTATAATGTATATATAAAGATGTAGAAACAAGTTTTATGAGACCAACGTTTCTTGTTAAGGCCCAACTCCACCCTATTCTAATTGAGATTGACCCTTAAGTTGAATAAAGAACAAAGAGTTCTGTAGTGAAAACACTTCAGTACATGTTGCATCTTGCCCTTGGCAAATGGGAAAATAGAGATACAGATGATCTGAATTAGAAGGTGCAATATTTCCTCATTTTTTTTTTTTTTTGAGTACGGGAAACATTTTAAAATAGTCCACATCATCACCATGGTCTAAATTCAGGTATAAGAATTTAGAATTATATAAATGGGCTTCTTCATAAAAACATGCCAATGTTTATTAATTTGTGGAGTTTAATATACTCCACATTAGAAACCAGACTTCTTTTGAGGGCTAAAGAAATGGAGGTGACCTCTAACTCTTAGAGCAGAAACTTCTTGTGGGCAACTGGCTGTATGTACTCAGAACTCAGAGAAGAGGGTTGGGCTGGGAGTACAAATCTGCAAGTCATCTGAGTTTATGACTGTGGAAGACGGAGCCATGGAATAAATTCTCTTGTGGGAAAATTTGGAGTCATAAGAAGGGCCTGACACTGAGCCCTGTGCCGCTCTAGCCTAATGTTGGACGAAGGGAATCTGCAAGTAACACTGGGAAGCCACAGCCTGAGGGGTGGAAGGAGCACGGAGGGGGGGAGTTCTGTATTATGGAAGCCAAGGGAAAAGCATGTTTCAAGAGGAAGGGAGGAATTGTCAGATGCTCTGATAGGTCAAGTATGATGTGGACTGAAAATATCTGTTGAATTCAGCAATAGGAGTCGTTTGATAGAAGGATTTAAGCAGCTTTTGTGGGGCAGCTAAGGTAGAAAACAGGCATGGGTTGAGCTATGCAGGAGAGGTGAAGAAAAAGCAGACCTCAAGTGTGTAGACCTTTCTGAGGAGTTGAACTGAGAAGAAGAGGTGGGAGGTAAGATGAAAGTTTGAGAGTGATGTGAGGTCCCGGGAGACCTTTTTTTTGTGGGAGTTGCACATGATGAACGTGAATGAGAAAGACCATTTGAGCAAGAGAGATGGAGTAAACAAGAGGTAGAAGAAAGATCAATAATAAATAACAGTAGCAACAACAAATATTTATTGAGTGCTCACCATACCTTGGGCACCGTGACAGGTATTCTCACATTTACTTCTTAGAATAGTGCCCCATAACAGGCGCCCTTATTTTCTCCAGGTTAGAGAGGGGTGAGACCTAGAGATGTTCACTACCCCACTCAGCGTCCTCCAGCTAGTAAGTGAATAAGGGCTGATCTTTGCTGCCACCCCAGCTCACAGCCCCCCACTTGAATTTAGGTGTTCCAGGCTGCATTTGAATACCTACCTAAAGATTTTCTAAATTCTATTTTAAGAAACTTTGAAACTCTCTGTAAGTTCTAACAGTGTTACTCCGACAAGGATTTTTAGCTAGTGGTGTGGGTCAAAGAAAAAAAAAAGTCTTATTTGCTGAGAAAATGTGTGAGTGTATATAAAGCCTTGTGCCTCCAAATATAAGCTGTATGAACTGAAGGTGATTTGCCCGAAGAACTCCTGAAGCAGTTGGCAGAGGCAAAAATCAAGTCTAGGAGAGATTTCCCTCCGCGACACCCACCCCCCCCCTCCACCCCCCTTGGAGAAGGGCAGCAAAGGGATGGCATAGGCGGAGGTAGCGGCACAGTCAGGCCAAGTAAGTGATAGGAAAACATCCCCCAGGCGGCTTCCCTGTAGATTCTGCCTGGCTGCGTTTCCTGAAATAATATTAATTCTGTCCTCTTGCTTTTAATAGGACATAATGACTACATGTGTCCAGCTACCAACCAGTGCACGATTGACAAGAACAGGAGGAAAAGCTGTCAGGCCTGTCGGCTCCGCAAGTGCTATGAAGTAGGCATGATGAAAGGCGGTAGGTACCTGCCCCCCAGGGCGCCCGCCCGCGAGGGGCGTCCGTGCCTGGCCCCCCAGTGCTGGCTACTTCGGTCCCAACAACCGGGGCAGTGCAGTGTTTTCCCTTCTACTTCGTTGTTTCCTATTCCTATTCCTATTCCTATTTTTCTTTGCAACACAAGTATTTTTATAACACGTTTTTAGTTTTAATAGGAAGTGCCTGGAAATGGAGATTCTAACATGCCATTTTGTGTCTTATGTTTTAGATGTAAATACTTATATTTTGTCAGAGGTGTGTGGGAGGTGGTGGTGGAAGGAAAGGAAGACTGCTCAGTGAATTGTTCTGGAAATCTTTTTCAGTGACTGTTTATATTGCTAATCCTAGAAAACGATGTCTGAAGAGAAGCTTTCCCTAAATTGAGACTTGTAAATGTGAGAGCTAAATAGCTAATTTATAATCTTCCAATCTCTGAACATCCCTCAGCGAATTTGAATTTCAATCAAAAGGCAGCTTTTTCCATTAGAAGTTGAGTCAACCAGCAGCTCCCGCAACCTCAGCATCTGGCATGGGGCTGGGAGCAGTGGAACGACTGTGCAGCGCTAACAAATCATGAGGCACTCAGGCTTTGTGCCTGTGTGCCTCCATCTTTGTGGCTGCGTGCGTACGTGCGTGTGCGCGCGCGCGTGCGTGAGTACGTGCATGCGTGTTGTTTTCTGTCCCCTCGCAGGTCCAGTTTTCCAGTTTTCTTTTACGGAAATCAGTGTCAGGTACTGAGGGTATTACCGGCTCTATAGATGTGGTTGCCGGATTGTTCTTGTCTTCTTGGGGGATCTAGTCTTGAGGAACACAGATGCCAGTCTTGGGTCGCCTTCAAAATACTGGGAGAGAACAAATAGAAAATGTGTAATTCAAGTCATGGCGCGTTTAGTGTTTTAGGAGGGTAGAAAGGGGACAGAGGGACCTAGGATTATGTTATGTTGCCTGCTGACTGTAATAGGGGAAGAGCTTTCTGAAGGAGACGGGGCTTGAACATGAGTTAAGGGGAAGGGAGTTAACAATGAAAAAGAATGGAGATTGTGCAGGTGGAGGGCAGCTAACCTTTAGCTTGTTAATACTTGGCTGAAACGGGCAGCGGAAGGAAAACCGAGAACCTGATTGGAAGGAAGCTTACAGTCAAAGATTCCTGAGTTCCACGGTCACAGATAAGCCTGCCAGGTTGGGATTTTAAATACAGCATTTGGAATAAATTCTCTTGATGAACGGACGAAATACTGAATTTACGCATTGTGTGAGCTGTGACTATATGTCTTGGATGTCTGAAAAAGCAGCTTTAATTCAAAGGGTAATTAATTCCAAGAATTTAACAGCCACATTCAGAAAATGACACTTGGAGTCATAAATGGATTAAATATTTAAGGAATTCATCTTTCTATGTGCTGTTAGAGAATTAGTCGGGCTTAATTAAACTCACAAAAAGCTTTCTTAAGGTAACTTGAAAAGTGACAGGAATATAACAGTACATGTAAAAAGTTTAATTTGAACCAGTGGAGTCCAAAGTTTAATGTGCTTCTTTGATGACTGCAGGTAGATTAAGCCCAGCCTCTTACATTCTGTCTGAAAGCTGAAATAATCAACTCCTGAATATGTACCTTTGAGGGTACCCATATATTGACCCCACTTCATAAAAACAATTCTGTTTTTCCTAATTTATATCCAATACAGTCTGGCTGCATAAACATAAATTATGCATTCTCATTTTTAAGCTAACAAAAATTTTAATATGCAAAGGCGTAATAAGAGTCTTCCCACTGTTTTCAAATACAACTCTAGGTAATTCGACTACACCTAGGCAGTCCGCATGTGCATGCATATACTTGTACGAGTGTATTTATGACTAAAATATATATCTGTGTTAGTTTGCTCCTGTATCAGTCTGCTTGGCCTGCCTTAACAAAGTCTACAGCCTGGGGGGTTTAAACAACAGAAATCAATTTTCTCATAATTCTGGAGGCTCAAAGTGCAAGATGAAGGTGTTGGAAAATCCAGTTTCTGGTAAGACCTCTCTTTCAGGCTTTTAGATAGCTGCCTTCTCACTGTGTCCTTTTCTCTGTGGGTGCAGACATAGAGGGAGCATTCTCTGGTGTGTGTCTCTCTTCTTATAAGGATGCTGGTCATATTGGATTAGGATCCAACCTTTATGACTTCGTTTAACCTTTAATACTTCCATGAAGGCCCTGTCTTCAAATACAGTCACATTGCAGGTTTTGGGGCTTCAACATAGGAATTTTGGTGGGAAATAATTTAGTCTATAACAGCTGCTGTATCAAAATACTATAGATTGGGGGGCTTAAATCACAGAAATTTTCTCACAGTTCCGGAGACTGGGAAGTCCAAGGTCAGAGTGTCAGCAGGTTTGGTCTCATCTGAGGGTTTTCTCCTTGGCTTACAGATGGTCACCTTCTCACTCTGTGCTCACATGGCCTTTTTTTTCTGTACTCATACATCCTTGGTGTTTTTTCTATTTCTTATGAGGACACAAGTCCTGTTGGATTAGGGCCCCACCTGTATGACCTCATTTGATCCTCATTTGATCTTTACTATCTCTTTAAAGACCCTGTGTCCAAATAAAGTCACATTCTAAGGTACTGGGGTTAGGGCTTCAACACGAATTTTGGGGGGCAAAATTCAGGACATACCAATATCTTATAGAGTTGTCTCAGTGGTTATTCAGTATCTGTCTACATTTAATAAAAGCATGTGTCTTTCTGGCAGTTTACATATGTGTATAAGCTTTATGTCAAGCTTTAAAGTTGTAAAATTATAGGCTGTGCAAACATCTCGTTTTAATTACATGTATAAAGCAGTTGCCATTAAAGCAATGTGATTTATTGTATTTTCTACAACATGGAATACCACATATAACCTCATGATACCTTGTATAACAACTCCCTAAATCCCACTGAATAAAGACTTAAATTACAATTGGAAGTACAAATACAACTATAAAATTTGAAATTACTTTGTAAAAACAGCTGTGACTAAATAAATCTTTATAACATTTTCTACTGGTTTCATAAGAATCCAGTTTCTTAACCAGGCTTGACAGCAATTAGAATATCGAATCTCTACCTATGACGTAAAATGGTTAGTTTCAGATAAAAGAGAACCATATACCTACCCCCTATTTTTATAGCAAGGCTGAATAAATTTACTGAAATGTTCTAAAGATCTGAAAGCCTACATGATTTATCTACATGCAGACATTATTTGAATCTGTTTCAATGCCTATATTATTCTGAAAATCCAATATCATTATTAGATTTGGTTCTGAGCCATGTTAGTTCCTTAAGATACAGGATTTTAGAGAATGCATTTCCTCATCATAGTGCATGTTCAGGTCTCTCTGCCTCAGCTGCATTTTCCTCCTCATCCCTTAGCTGGTCCCTCCCCTTCAACCTTAGAAGGCAGATTCAATGTCTTTTCTTCAGGGAAGCTACAGCTCTTCTCAAGTTACCATAATTATTATTGTTAGATATTCAACAACTGTCCATAAACTCCATGATGGCAGGGAGTCTCTCTGTCCTGTTTACTGAGCTAGCACTAAGTCACAAAGTAAGTGCTCAAGACATTTTTTTTTTTTTTTGCATGAATTGATGACTTAATTCACTTAAATAGTTATTTGTTTAGAGTCCCTTACACCTGAGCTGTTATGAAGCAACATGAATAAGACCCAGTCCCTTCCATCACTGTCCTCACGGTACAAAGAGGACATTTGCATATGAAGTGGCAAAAAAGTCCAGGAGACAAGTTGAGGGTAGGTTGGAAGACGATAATGAAAGACCAGTGGCCAATGGAAGTTCAGAGCTTTAGCCAACCTCTCCGGGGTTAGTCCAACCCAGGATATTACTCAGACTATCTGATTTCCAAGGTGTATATATATATTTTTAAGATTTGTTTATTTTAAAGGAGGGGGGGAGGAGCAGACGGAGAGGAAGAGAAATCCTCATGAGACTCCCTGCTGAGCACAGAACCTGACATGGGGCTTGATCCCACGACCCTGAGATCGTGACTTGTGCTGAAATCAAAGAGTCGGATGCTTAACCGACTGAGCCACCCAGGTGCCCCCAGGTTTATATTGTTATCAAAGAATCTGCTATTCTAGTTTGGTTTGGTGGAAAGTGGGAAGACTTCAGAGATGAAATTCCTGGTCCAAATACTGCTTCTCCTCAGACTTGCTGAGCAATCCTGTTCTAGTCACTTTTATGGGCTTCATTTTCCTCAGATGTAAAATAAAAATTCTACTTAACAAGTTTGTTACAAAAATTGCAATTCATAACATATAAAAGTACTTTATAAATTTAAAGTACCACCCAAGTGTTAGCCATTATGTCTTTTCTTGTCTCTCTCTCTCTCTTTCTTTTTTTTATGTTGGAAGAAAGAGAATGGTAATTTCATCACTTGTACTGGGCATAAATATCTAACTCCTTTGTGGGGAGTAAAAACCTGGCTCAGACACATCTTCTTTTTTGTGTTTTTCTTTTTGGTGCCATATACTGGATATGGCTTCATGATAGTGAAATTTGTTGTGCTTTTCATTTTATGATGTCAGATTTACACAAACTTGTTAAAATTCTTTCCTCACAATAGACTCAGAAATGTGTTGGTGGCAAGGTTTTCATTTTTCACATGAGGAAACTGGCACACAGAAATTAATTGATGCAGGAAATTAATTGATAGACATGCACTGCTCATCGTGGTTATGCTTTCTTATAATGCATTAAGAAATTTGAAGAGGAGTAGGAGATATAGGCTTTCAGTTATGGAATGAATGAGTCACAGAATAAAAGGCACAGCATAAGGAATAGAGTCAGTGATATGTTAATGTCAATGTATGGTGACAGATGGTAGGTATACTTGTGGTGAATGTAGCATAATCTATAAACTTGACAAATCATTATGCTGTACACCTGAAACTAATGTAACATCGTGTGCCAATTATACTCAAATAAAAAAAGGAT